TGGTGGCACTTTGTGTCATCGGGTGTTTATCGCTTGTGTGATGTCCTGGTGGGGTAGAAATTCAATCAATCAACCTGGCAAGAATTTTAGGGAGCTGACCAAGGCCGTCTTAACAGCCTTATGGGTCCCTGTACGCTGAGGCCCCTACGACAGCCACTTACAGGGATGAAATGTAAATGGTCGTTAAATTTTAACATATATATATATATATATATATATATATATATATATATATATATATATATATATATATATATATATACATATATATATATATATTTGCACTTCAACAAAACTGCTTGTGGGAGAAGAGAGGGTGGGGATAGACTGGAGATATATTTATTTATTTATTTATTTATTTATTGATGGTGAGTCACTTTGTATACACATATTTGCATGCGGCTCTTATGTTCGTGGGGCTCCCGTGCGAGTATCCAAAGAGCCCCATACGTTAGGACAGTACTAGGGCTGACGCCATAGACCAGTGGTTCTCAACCTGCTGGTTGCGACCCCTTTTTTAGGGGGGGGGAGGTCGGACGACCCTTTCACAAGGGTCGCCTAAGACCATCGGAAAACACATACTCATTGAAGTTATGAAGAAAAATAATTGTTTGTTCAGGGGTCGTCACAACATGAGGGAACGGTATCTTGAAAAAAATTTTTCTTTGTGTATGGGTCCACTGTACTATTTCTTAGAGAAAAATAGACCCACGGCCGCTTTATAAACATCAAACACATACCTCTCTCTCTCTCTCTCTCTCTCTCTCAAGTGAAGAAGGAGAAGAGGAAAAGAAGAAGAGGAAAAGAAGAAGAGGAAAATAAAGAAGAAGAAGAAGAAGAAAACAAAAAGAAGACGAAGAGAAGAAGAAGAAGGAGAAGAAGGAGAAGAAGAAGAAGAAGAAGAAGAAGAAGAATAAGAAGAAAAAAGAAGAAGTGAGTGGCGGTAGGAAGAGAAGAAAATAGTGACAATGGTGTGATGGTTGAAGAAGGAGAAAAAGAAGCAATCCGCCCTGCCGCAGATTCGAACTTAGGACTATCGGGTCGACAAGCAGACACAGCTTCGCCGCTGCTTCCTCAAACTCCCATGTATAATCACCAAATTTCTGCCAGCGCAGTGCGTGTTTGCGCGGGTTAATTGCACTCGAAAGCCACATAATACAAACAACTTACGCCAAAACACATCCCCTTTCCTCTGAAAGAAACCTCACCATCAATCTTACTAAAACTCGGTCAACCAGTCGCCCAAGTATTTATAATTTGCATCGTCACTGAATTCCCCCCAGCCTCCTTCCCCTCGAGCTGCCAATCATTCCCGCAAGGCTAGGTTCGAGCGTCTAAATAAAGCCTTCGATGGCGAATGCGGGCAGACGTTACACTTCTTCTTCTCCGGATTTAACTTGGTACACCGCGGTTCGGTACTTCTCGGCAGCTTTCGGGAAAAGCCGACATGTCCTTGGGCAGAGCGGTAAACTGTGTCGACCCGGAGGTAAGGAGAGGCCGAAGCCAACGACCGAGCGATGTAGCCACACGGTGGATTCCCCCCTGTTTCTGGGGGCCGTGGGGTAAAAATAACCCGACTACTTTTGCGTCATAACTGAAAGAAAAAAACCTCATTCATGTGCTAGACCAGGAGACGTGCAACGAAGTGGAGGTCCTTCGTCTCGTGATAGCTGATTGGTTGAAGCTGGTCTGATCTCGGTCGTAGACCAGTGTTGTTCTCAACGGAAGCACGGCGGCTGGCCTACATAGGCAGTTGTTGAGGTTCTGCGGAGTCAGTTCGCCAATAACCTTGTCGCGCGGCGGACAGTGACATAGTGACTTGAGTGTACAACTGTAATTTATTGTATTTTAGTTCGTTGAGGAGTCTACTACTGTTCATTTGGACTTAACGAATATTTCTTCCAGTAGGATTTATTTATACTCCGTTGGAGAAATCACACTAGAGGTTTGTATTATCTGTTTCTTTGTCTAAAGTAACAACCAACAGTATCCTGTTCAACCTCTCTTGGTTTTGCAATGTTTTTTTTTAAATAATGGCTGTTCTGTTTGTCTATAACTTTGGCTAATTTTATATTGTATGTAAATGTGTTGTAGAAATTACTATTCGGGTAATTATATTTGCATTGATGCTTTTAAAATCTATTTTGAATAATTAAGTTGAAATAGTATATTCTCTTTAAAATTTACTCCCCTATATAGCAGTTACATTTTTAGTTATTATGTTTATGTATGTTTATGATTGCACACACATCCATATATATTTATATGGGTGTTGGGTGAGAGAATGTAAATGGAAGAGAGAGAAATGATGATAGATGAGGTAACCTTTACTCTCCCACTATTATTGCAAGTGACAACTGTTAATGATTTGTTTTCTGAGCCATAAACTTAATGAACCAAGTGTCAAACTTTATGCACTAGGTGCCGTCCAGAATAGTCTGACTATATATGTATGTGTGTGTGTATATATATATATATATACTATACATGCATACAAGACATCGAGTAGCACTGTTAGCTTTTCTGTATGGTCATGACCCTCCTTACCAAGGATGATGTCTTGAATTTCGGCTCACACACTCACTATATATATATAGTCTCTCTCTCTCTCTCTCTCTCTCTCTCTCTCTCTCTCTCTCTCTCTCTCTCTCTCTCTCCAAGTAAATCTAGAGTTTGACAAAAGTTCTGTAATGTTAAGTTCTATTAATACTATTAATATTTAATAAAAAGAAAAAAAAAACTGAGAGATTATTATTGTGCCTCAGACGCATAGCGACAAGTTGTCTCTGTCCACACTTTCTCCTTTAGAGGCTCATAATTCACGCGACCGCGAGGAAAGGGCCTCTATAGAGAGCTGGTGCTACAACAGAGGCGGAATATAGCAACTCTTTAACCCTTCTTCAACTCATCCTATCATAATAAAGTGTACTAATGCTGGCAACGAAAAGGTTAAATAATAATTTACGAGACACGGATGGAGTTAAAATAACAAATGTCACAGTAGGTTGAAGAGGACCAAGAAGTTAATTAAGCACCCAATTGAAGAAGAAACAGAAACAATAACAGTGAACACCGTGGTGCAAGGATTGTTCCTGAATGAGTCAGTATGACAGTGTAGTTGTTATCTTCGCTACAAAGATACACTTAAATTGCGACAATTCTGGCTTATCTGCTGCAGACGGAGCATAAGGTTGGTGACGTGTCTGGGAACAGGAGGGGTGGGGTGTTGGTAAAGCATTTCTTTTAACTATTTTAAGCAAGTAATCTATGAGCTTGTGGCTACTAAGTAAATTTATTTCGAAACTGTAGAATATCCAGGTTATAGTTATTATCCAACGGCTGCAAATATATCTTTTGTATTTTACGGCTACCGTTAAAATTATATGTAAATGTCTAGAATATGATTTGATTGATTTGATTCAAGAACCGACATCACGGCAGTCGGGGCATTCCCATAAGCGCTCCGTAAAAAAATGTCTAGAATAGTTATATGTAAGGCCTTGAACGCTTATTTTGTAATGTCTAGAATAGTTATACGCAACAACTAGAAGTTTTTTCTTTAAATACCGTTCTTATGGAGATACATTTTCATACTTGTCCTCAAGAAGAGCTCATATAAATACAGCTGCAGTTACGCTTGCAATGGCTTGCGTCGCTTGACCCGGCGACTACCAGATTACACGATTGATATGCAGTGAATAAAAGGTTATATGGGATATGCAACGTATAGAAGGTTATATGGGGACGTATAACGACAGGATCGGATGACGATGATGACTGTATTTGAAGAATCTTCACTGACAGTAATTGTGCAGTGGATTGGTTTTGTCTTCATTGAATTTACTAGCGGAAAACATTTTAACGAGAATAACCCATCTGTCTATCGCTGGTGTTCACGGGACTGTGTCTCTTGAAAGCGACCTTAACTCATTACAGTTAAAAGTCCCTGTGACATTAGGGTGGTGATGAGTTAAGGAGAAATATGACTTGGCATAACTCAGTGCCCTTATCCTGGTGGACTTACTACTACTGATGCACATTGGGCACACATGAGCACGCTGAGTGAAGTGGCCAGATTTTCAACACAAACAAGGTTTATTGTGTCGAGTTATGAGGGCGGGAGTTTGTCAGCAAGGCTTGTAGTCGGTGTCTGTGACGTCTCGACGGGTAGTTTGATATGGCATAATATTGATTCGCTATTTTGTTGTCCCTGTGTGGGGACGCAACTTTTCGTTATTTTTTTTTTTTTTTTTGATGCCCCATCCTGGGGCCGCAATATAGCCTGACGGTTGAACGCGGTTTCTGGAGCCTCTCTACGGGTGATCCCATCCGCAAAATGGTACTTTGTGTAACCGGGTGTTTATCGCTCTGTGTGATGTCTGGTGGGGTAAAATTTACTTACTTACTCAATTGATTCGCTATATACCACGTTCTTCTTCTTCTTTCTTCTTCTTCTTCTTCTTCTGTGAACTGCGCCGAAATGTTCTGGTTTTTCGTCAACTTCTGAACTTTGATTTTGTTCCAGTTTACGTGCACATCTGTTTTACAGATCTGGCTTGTTTGTGTTCAGAATGTTGGTTCCTTGCCTAATTAATCATCTTGTACGACATCCTTGTGGGTCTGTTCTGTTTCCATTTGGCAAATAAGTAACATTGACTTGATTTTACACACACACACACACACACAAACACGTGTGTAACAGTACTATAATTATCTTTAATTCCAAATTTAATTTAATTCAACTCTGCACAACATTACTTTAACTCCTTTAGCTCCTTACAGAAACGAATAACTAAGAGCAAAAATAAATCTTTTAATCCCCGAAAAATGTTAACTACTTTAGTTGCAGGTATACATTTTTTTTTAACTTTAATAGTTCCAAACAGACATAACTTTAACTCATTTATTTCAGTTCTATTCATGTATCACCTTAACTCTTATTTCTAGATCTTTATTTATGCGTTTTCTTTTCAGACATTTCCGGAGTTGTGTACCCGTTAATGGAGGTGTTGCATGGTCCCGGCGCGCTGTTTGTGTCTCAGCCCGTCACGATGTTTCCTCCCAGCATGCAGCGGATGTTCACCACACGGAGTGACGTGTATGCCTGCTACTCCTTCGAAGCTAACACGCCATCTCGCACGCCGACTCCTGAGCGCCAGTACAGATCCTGTGCTAAACAGTGCAACAGTATGGAAACATCTAGTCATGCTACAACGTTGCAATCAGTTCTTCGAGGAGAAGTCCCTGCAGCATATTCTCATCTTGCATCGTCCTCGTCATCTCAACACTTCTCATCATCTTCGTCATTATCTTCCTCTTCGTTGTCGCCAGTAACTAATAATAATAATAATAATCATACAATGTCAATGGAGCTTGATCCATTACTGAATCCAGTTCTGTCTCCATGCCCCAGCCATCATAGCTCCGCGAGCTACAGTCCCCGACCAGAGTCACACGAGTCAAACGCCTCCCAGGATTCCATGTCTGATATGCAGACAGAACCTATGGACCTTAGTTGCAAAAGATCATCTCGCAAGAGGACTGCTGTGTCGGCATTCCTTAACGTTGCCTCCACGAACAATAAATTATCCGTCCTTTCCACATCTCTTCCTGCCAAGTTCAACACGACTCGGGCATCATCGTCTGAATTCTTATCCTCATCGTCGTCCTTCCCAACATCATCGTCACCATCTGTGACGACTATGCATAGCTTCCCACCCAGCCCGAGCGATGGACAGCACGGGGAAGAATTCTCCCTCCTAAGAAATCTCCTCAGTGTCGGCAAACATCAGTTTGGCTCTCCAAGTTCCTCATCGGGATGTCTTAGTAACTCCACGCCAAATCTCAGCTCGGACCGAGGCTGCGACTCCCCAAACTCTGACTATTTCTCTAGAACACCAGTTACGGGCAACACCAGAGTCCATCTCGCCAAGAAGAACTTGTACCCGGTCAGCGCCCGGGTTTCAGACTGGTTGATCAAGCTTGTCGAGTTTGCCAAAACAATCCCAGAATTCTCAGCACTGTCTCATAATGACAAAGTTACCTTAATTCTCAATTCCTGGAGCCGCCTGATGCTGCTTTATATGGCTGAGAGCAACTTCCAGTTTGCCGTGACACCCATGCTCACATCAGACACCACTGTCACGGACTCCAATCCTTCCCAGGATGAGCCCACTATGAAGACTGTAGAAGGGCTGCAGACATTTATCAAAAAGTGCCAGCAGATGTCAGTTGACGGAAAGGAATATGAGTTTCTCCGCATGCTTGTGCTCTTTAATGCAGGTAAGCTGAATCCTGTTGCTATCGTGTTGATGCCTATATACTTTAGAATTAAATTACAGTAAAGATTCATATTCAGCAGTAAGAAGTATATGGCCATATTCAACAGTTAAAAGTAAAGGGTACATTAAACAGTCAGAAGTGAAATACCCTATTCAGCATAACAAGTAAAAGGCCTTATTACATTTCCTAGCAAACAGTAGGGCTCAAAGGGGAGGCCAGGTTACTTAGAAAACTGCTGCAAACTATGGATGTTAGCCCATACAGACAGATAGACTCTCTCGATATGATATCTTTACATACTGGTCATTTTTGCTTCTTTCTTTACTACTTTTTAAGAGCAGAGGACTAATTAATTCAGAACCTTTATATTGATTGTACCTGATGCACAACTGGCGGGAAAACGGGGCTTCTTCCCAACCCCCCCCCCCCCCCCCCTTCCGGGATTCTCTCTCTGAGCTACTTTTGAAATGCACATGCCTAGAGGTTAGTGTCCCTAGGCGTCCCTTCAACAGAATTAAATGGCTGGGGTTGTCTTTCAGTCAGCTAAGAAAAGGGGGAGCCAGTTGACCTTAAGCTACTCAAATCATATAGGGCGCTTCTATTGTTTCTTAAGAAATGGCTAGTTCAGTAGCCTACCCATGCACCTTGTTCCTTGTTTAGGTCCAACGGGAGACTTCAAGGAGAAGGTTAGAATAGGAGTCAGGGGAGGGGAAGCTGAAACTGGTACCCGTCTGACCTTGATTTGTTGCTACTGGGCGACTCGGTCAGCGAGGACAAAGGTTAAAAGGTTGCTTGAACCCGCGTGCGGGCATGTCGGAAACCTTTAGAAGTTCAGAAAGCCACGTGCGTGTCGGCATTCCGCAGTTTTAGCGTAAAATTTGTTTGTGGCTTGTAATAAATAAATGTAGGTGATTTGGAATATTTTGTTCTAATATCTTATAGCATAATTTACTGCATTATTTTGTTTCTCTTCTTCGACAAAAGTTCTGTCGTTCGTTCTTGTTCTTTTCATCCTTGTATTATTTGTTGTTGTCTTTTACTTTTTCTAGTAAAATCTATGGCGTATGGCTTAGGTCAACGCCCTGCCCGCAGATTTATTGTCAATTAATCAGTTGTTTTTTTTTTTCGCGCCCAAAGACCGGATATGAGTACACAATCTCTTAATTAATTTTATATAAACACAGATAAAGGTATTTTCTTCCAATCATTTTGAAAGGTATTGACACACATATAAACATATTAAATAGAATGTCACATTAAATGAAGTAATTCATTAATAGCTACTTTATGTCATACAAGAGAGAGAGAGAGAAAGAGAGTTTATATATGTATATATAATCAAATTGAATGAAAAATGTGCAGACAGCTGCTTTAGCGATCCACACCCGCAGAGAGCGAGCGAGAGAGAGAGAGAGAGAGAGAGGGGGGGAGGAACATAATAGTAAGAAGACGTTGGGCCCTCGGAGACAGGAAAGCGAGATCATTTCCTTGACAGCGTCTGGGCCGTTTCTTTTGGTCATCAGAGGTCATGCGCGCGACCCCCTGACCATCGCCGTGAACAAGGTCGCGAGGTGACCTCGCGAAATTAAATATAGAACGAACATGCCGTGGTGGGGGAGGGGAAGCAGAGGTTTCGCGTGGAAGGGGCGGAAATAAAGGTAAGGGGTGGGGGACCCACGGGAGCTTTCTTCTTGAAGGTCGACTGATTCTCAGGTCAACGTCCTCGGTTGTGCGGAGGCGCGCGCGTAGAGAAAAAAACCTTTCTCTCCCGAGGTCAACTAGTTTTTCCGCATCGTTAAATCTGTGAGAACGCCTTGTGCGCTTAAAGCCAATAACAGGGATTTCAGTTACGCATACGTACGTACTATATATATACATACCTTTACGGAACACATAAAGGTTGTTATTTCTTTCGTAGGCAGTTATAAATACGTCAGTGGCGCATGAACATGGGGGGGGGGCCGGGGGGAGCTCAAGCATCTTGACCCCGAACTGCCCCAAACACAAATGGGGGTGGGGGATCCCCAACCACACCCCACTATATTTTTATAGACATATGGTCCTATTCACGTTTCTCGGCCCATCTACACACATGGCTGGTCTTACTTTCATGGTTTCTCAGACTGTTCTACGTCAGAGGGGTATCACGCTGTCTTGCCTCCAGTTACATCAGCGACGATGTCGCGTGTTCTACTACACAGCTTTAACCACACCAGAACATCAAAGACTGACACTAACTTAAACACCCTACTTAATGGACTGAGCCTATGTCCCACGAGATACTCTTTAAAAAAAAAAAACAGTACAGCGTGACACCCATCTGACCTTTACCAGACTGAGAAACTGTAGATGGGCCGGGAAACGTGAATAGGACCATGTTTTTTTTTTTTAATTTATATATTTCGTGTTATTTTAAATGGTATATAAAATTTACTTGATATTTAGAACTTAATTATAATAATTACTATTACGAACCCCTTTAAACAGCCCCTGAAACCCCTCCCCCACCCTCGGCGCTTTCTCTGCGGCCCCCCACCCCACCGATTTGACGCTGGAAACAACATCAGACATAAATAAACTGCAGATGCCGTACATATCGTGCCCTGCAGAAAGGTCATCGATTATAGTGAACCTTACCACCCACCTAATCACGTGATTGAAAGGTGTGTAGTAATCAATCACCGCCGTGCGCCCCCGTTCTCCGCCCACCTGGTGTTACATTCTGGGTGAGAGTTGAGGTCACCTGGCCTGTTTTTTTTTTTTTTTCGCTGTTTTTTCCCCCGTCCATTATATTTCTAGAATAGTTGGTTATGTCGAGTGTTTAGATTATTTTGCAGGGATGAATATCGCGTACTTAACCAGTTCTAAAGTGCCAAAATGAGGGGACCGGCTTCCTTACACACATGACACGGTCTCGGTCTCTCTCTCTTTCCCTCTCTCTTTCTCTTTCCCTCTCTCTTTCTCTCTCCCTCTCTCTCTCTCTCTCTCTCGGTGGAGCAGCTAGTCGCATGTCTAGGGCGTCGAACAAACAACGAACTCGGTAGATTCGGGGACGAGCTCCCTGTATCTTTTTCCTTAAAATTACAGTCTTGAAACAAACCCACGACCTCCAGAGCGCAAGGTTAACGGCTTGACCACTTCCGGACAAATGCTGGGGCCATGGATTCTGTCCGTGATATTGAAGAAATTGCACAGGACAGAACGTGGACCGGAAAAAACCCGCTCGAAGATCTTAGGTTCAAATACCCATTGTAGCACATTTAAAAAGTTACTTAGGCTCCCAGATCAAGCTTTCAATGGGTACTAGGAAATATCAAAGGACACAAAGGCGACTGGCATGACGTTAACCACCCATTGAGTGCTAATTGGTCCATAAAAGCATGAGTTTCATCATATGCCCAGTGGGACGACAAAGACCCTTTTATCTTTTACTTCATCGATGGCCTACAGGGCTAACTTACTATATCAGGCAAGCGGACATCCTGGTTCTGGTCGTGACAGGTTTGAAAGACGTTCAACTCTACCAGGACTGCACAACGAGCGATAAACACCCGGTGACACAAAGTGCCACCATTCGGATGAGAATCACCAGGGCACAAGTCCCAGAGACCACGTTCAACCGCTAGAGATATATATTAGGGCCCAGACAACAGCCGTGGTGGGGTTTTAAAGTGAAAAAAAGATATTGCCCTATATTGAGGGAGAACGGATTTAATATCGCGTGAGATTAAAATATGCATTGCCAGAAGCCAGATCGGAAGGTCGTGGGTTCGCTCCCTGGCGGAGCCGGATTTTTCCAAAATGACCTTGGCTCCCTGGTCGACCCAGCCTTGAGTGGGTACCGGGTGCAGTCCCGGGAAAGTAAAGGCGGCCGGCGTGATGCTGACCACATCACCCACCTTGTGCCGATTGGTCTGTAAAAATATAGGTCTAGCCCTATATGCCATATACGCCTAAAGGCGTGGAAAAGGGTCCTTTACTTTTTTACTTGTATTGCGAGAAGCAGTTGCACACTGCGGGTTCAGACAAACAGGAATCTACACATTTAGGGGACATAATTCTTGGAATGGGCAGCCGTGGTTGCGTGGGTAGACAGTAAACAGCGGTGGTTTCATATTTTATTTATTGATCGCCCAAGTAAGTGGTCCTAGTTCTGACCAGCCGTCGAGTGCGAGAACAGATTGGAAATGTGGCCATCATAAGCGCTCCACTCGGAGCATGGGATTATACCAGCTGTTGCTGTTTAGGGCTTTATTTTTGTCGCAGTAGTGTGGGAGGCACCGTTCTATTTGTACCAGGCTTGAAGGACTTTGACTAATTGATTCTGTTTCGATCTTAAATAAGGATTTCGTTCTCTGTTAGGCCGGTCGTTTTATATGGCTGTGGGGCATGGAGCACAGCTGAAACAGATGAAGCCACATTACAAATTTGCGAAAACAGAGTATTACGGCGAATCTTTAGACCCATCAGAGGTGCGGGGAGTGGAGAGTGAGAGGCAACAACGGGATTCATAATCTGTATTATGGATCACCATTGATCACTGACATCATGAGATCTAATAGACTGAAATGGCTTAGACATATTGAGAGAGTGTTAGATAATAGAGAGGTCAAGACTGTGTTCACAAGGGAGCTGAACGGTCGTGGACCACGAGGCAGACCTAGAAGACAATAGAGAGATGACGTACAGACAGACCTGCAAACACTTGGTGTCACCAACTAGAAAACGAAGGCCCGCCAGAGAGAAGAGTGGAGGCAGGTGATATCTGCAGCAGTTAACCTCAAAGGCTTGGAATGCTGAAGAAGATGTGTATCACACATACTCGAGTACACCACAGAAACGATCTTTCAATTCTGTTGTTACTGTTATCAACTCTTTAGTATCATTTTTATGTAGGGTCATTTTATTATTTCTTTATATAGTTAGGTATTCTTGTTAGTTTGTTTGCTGATAAAGAGTTTGGTTGAAACGTTTGTATGTATGTATTTCACTAGCTGGAGCTCTCCACTTGCATTGCATATGCAGTTCAATCAGTCTGTTGGGTTTTACGGCTCCTTCATATTATTGTACTTTCATTCTTTGACCTGAATACAGTTTAATAAATCCCCCTGCCTTCTTTTCTATTTTCAGGTTACATTGGGTTGTCATGTCCAAAAGCCATTGACCAGTTGAACTCTGTTGTCCAGCAGTTGCTGCAGCAGCATGTCCGGGTGACCAGGCCTTCAGATGTCATGCATTACTCACGCCTGCTCATGTGCCTGCCCTCCTTATATGGCATCAACAGCAAGATGTTTGAAACCCTCTTCTGCAAACACATCACCAAGAACACAGATATGGAGGTACTGCTGAAGGACATGCTTCAGAAAGAATCATCATAGGAGCTTCTGGGAACAAACAAACGGGCAAATACTTTTCTAGATTCTTGATACCATCTTCATATTCCAAAATTGCTGAGAATGCTGTTAAAGAAGTACTTCAGAAGAAGCTGCTCCTGAACATACTGAGGATTTCTTTTTAAAAGGAGCAATGCACAGTTGGTTCCATTGTTGATACTTCCTTGGTGGCCACCACATCCTCAGTACCAACATCACGGTCAGGTGATTTATTACTACGAAGATATAAAGAAAAGCACTAGAGGTTCAGCAAGGCAGATGGACTACCACATTATGCAGGCATTGTTTACCACAAAAGCTGAAGGGATACTTATGTATCTAATATAGTATTCTGCTGGATATAACCAGTTTTAAAAGACAGTTTTAGATAGTTTTAAAGGACTGTTTTCAAAGACAGTTTTAGATAGTTTTAAAGGACTATTTGCAGTCTGCCTTATTAAACATTATTACATGTTTGTGTGTTTCTTTATTTTCCTTACCCACAAAGGAGAGGAGGATAGTATGTAGCATGAGGTACCTCATATTATAATTATTTTGGTATGTTGAATAGAGGGCTATTTGAAATTTGCTCCTTCTAGATTGACATCTGGCTTGCTACAGTACCAGACTTTCTGGTAGAAGCTTTGAGAGATAGCACATGAAAAGATACATTACATTTTCTTTTAGGGAAATAAATAGAAATGGAGTTTAGAAAGGGTATTTATAAAAAGTTATAATTTTCCCTTCCATAAGGAAGAAATTCAGTGTGAAATAACTCCTTTCTAATGGGATAACTCTCCCTTAAAACTAAATTCATTGGTTACAACTTTTGTTTTATTTGGTAGCAGAAACAAACATTTATGGGATTTTAAAAATAAAAACTGCATTTTGATACCAGATATTAATTAAAATACCTGCAAAGTCTTAAGTCCTGACACAACAGTCTAGAGTTACTGCAACATGGGTTGGTGTTTTTACCCTGCTTCTGGCCCCTTTAATTATTTGGAATTCCTTGATTGATTGCGGATTCCTTGATGATTGTCAAAGCCTTGATTGAGGGAAGGGGGAGGGGGTGGTCTTGAATGATTGAGAATGCCTCCAAGAGTTGTGTGTCCATTGAGGGAGGAAGACCATGTACACAAGTGATCTCACCCTATTCACATTGATATTCACATATGTTTATCACAGTAACACTTGAAATTTGTAACCCAAGTCATAGTTTTATAAATATGTAAATGTCAGCTCGTACAACAGTCCACTGCCAAGGAGTTAATTTATTTTGTTAAATAGACACCCCCCCTCCCCCAGCCATGAGAGATGACTTTGGGGTCTCTCTTAAGTTGGCTATGTTGGGCCAATGGGTGCAGATACTGCTGCCTAGCTGTAGACCACAATTGAACATATGAAGTTCCAAACAGAGATCTCATCCAGTTGCATCTTTGTTGTACTAGCCTCTCCCCATGTGGGGTCTGTGGCCTGATAGTGGGGAAAAGCAACAAAAGGTTTTGTTGTTGTTTTATGTCACCCTATCTCGGTGGCTCTGAGATTTCGTAGGGAATTCCCAAGAAACATCCAATAGTAGAGGAGTCTTGAGGTGTGAATGAATACAGAGTAACACTAACCCTAAACCGCCCCTTTTCCCCAACTGGAGGGGGGGGGGAAGGGGGGTGGCGTGAACCAAGAGTCTGCATACAGGTCAGCCATATCTGTGAAACAGATGTGCATGACACATTAAGGTTCAGAGTTGGATAAATACACAGAATTTTCTGCCAGAGTTTACAGTCAGTGAACGTGAAGAAGGAAAAGAAGAAGTAACTAGTCACAGGTCCATTCTCTAGCAGCACAAGTTTAATAATAAAAGGCATCAGTCGTATTGATATCAGATGATGCTTAATACAAAATCTCCCCCCCCCCCCCCCACCCCGTTTTTGATGGTTACCATCACAACAACTGCCATAATATATGTGTAGCTGATCTCCAAGTAATTTTAGAGATGTAAAAGCCGCTGCTGTGTGTGTAGTTCTACTGTGTACATATGTGTGCTTAATGTAAAACCTATGTGGACAGTTTCTGTAGCTTAGCGTTGCTATATGTTTTATTATGTGTGATATGAATAGCGTGTGAATGACCATTTTCATGCTGCTGTTGATACATCGAGCAAATGTATTTAAACTATCAGAAAAGCTAGCTGGCTCAGAGACCCGCACTCTACTGTTCTGTTGTTGGTAAACTTGAGTCAATGGAGCTTTGAATCACGAATAAATGATCAATTTTTCAGTCATCTTACACATGTCGGTTCACTCAGCCTCATTCTTTTGTGATAATATTCGCTTACCAAAGTCCTCTGCTGCAATGTTAGCGGTGGGTTTATGCCTGCTGCTGTGTTAGTGGTGGGTTTATGCCTGCTGCTGTGTTAGCGGTGGGTTTATGCCTTCTGCTGTGTTAGCGGTGGCTTTATGTCTTCTGGTGTGTTAGCGGTGGGTTTTCTGCAGTGGTAGCGGTGGGTTTATGCCTTCTGCTGTGTTAGCAGTGGGTTTATGTGTTCTGCAGTGTTAGCGGTGGGTTTGCCTTCTGGGGTGTTAGCGGTGGCTTTATGCCTGCTGCTGTGTTAGCGGTGGGATTTCTGCAGTGTTAGCGGTGGCTTTATGTCTTCTGCAGTGGTAGCGGTGGGTTTTTGCCTTCTGCTGTGTTAGCGGTAGTTTTATGCCTTCTGCTGTTTAAGCAGAGGGTTTTGTGGAAACACCTTTTGTTGTCTTATTGTTTGTATTTGAATCACCTCACCTCTTCTTTTGTGATAATGGTTGAATGGTTGATTAACCCAATCGCTTCTTCTGTTTTAGCAGGTGGCTTCATTGCTGACACATTTAAATGTTCAATTTAAAGTAATGGACTCTTTTTCTGTCAAGAAGAAATTAGGCATATAGTGTTAGAGACCTCATGCCGACCACCTTTCACAGGTCATAACTTGCTACCCACTTTGGGCTGGGTTGACCTGGGAACCGAGGATATTTTTGGAAAATAAAATGGGACGATACAAAAGGAGTTAAATAAACAGTATGAATTAGCTTGAAAGATTGTGTGAAGAAGTAGAGGTACATGGCAAGGCGTCCCCTGTGTGAAGAAGTAGAGGTACATGGCAAGGCGTCCCCTGTGTGAAGAAGTAGAGGTACATGGCAAGGCGTCCCCTGTGTGAAGAAGTAGAGGTACATCTCATGGCGTCCCCTGTGTGAAGAAGTAGAGGTACATCTCATGGCGTCCCCTGTGTGAAGAAGTAGAGGTACATCTCAGGGCGTCCCCTGTGTGAAGTAGTAGAGGTACATCTCATGGCTTCCCCTGTGTGAAGAAGTAGAGGTACATGGCAAGGCGTCCCCTGTGTGAAGAAGTAGAGGTACATCTCATGGCTTCCCCTGTGTGAAGAAGTAGAGGTACATGGCAAGGCGTCCCCTGTGTGAAGAAGTAGAGGTACATGGCAAGGCGACCCCTGTGTGAAGAAGTAGAGGTACATGGCAAGGCGTCCCCTGTGTGAAGAAGTAGAGGTACATGGCAAGGCGTCCCCTGTGTGAAGAAGTAGAGGTACATCTCATGGCGTCCCCTGTGTGAAGAAGTAGAGGTACATCTCATGGCTTCCCCTGTGTGAAGAAGTAGAGGTACATCTCATGGCGTCCCCTGTGTGAAGAAGTAGAGGTACATCTCATGGCTTCCCCTGTGTGAAGAAGTAGAGGTACATGGCAAGGCTTCCTTGCACTACATTTCAGTGCAGTTTGTTGAAAAAAGCTATATGTTTCTAATTATATAAAGTTATTTGTTTATTATTTCATCATGCTAATTGTGTGTATATATATATATATATATCGCTGTATATATTTCATGTACATACAAGTAATTTATTACTGTCAGTGAACTAGAATGGGGACATACGCTAGGAAATGTATTGGCTTTATTTATATCAGTTTACAGAAAAATAAAGAAGATACAAAGGCACATCATTAATGGATTCAGTAAAACAGTCTGGCAGTGGTTCCCTGTTAATGGGCTGCAGATCCTAAGGGGTAGGTCGCAGATCCTGAGGTAGGCTGCAGATCCTGAGGGGACCGTGGAACAAATTTATGTGGTCAGTGACATAATTCACACACATAAACGCGTGCACATGTGCACACACACCCAAAATTATGGTTATTAAAATAATATGGGGTTTAGTGGACGGACCTTTCATGATAAGTGGGATCAGCAAGTCTTATCTAACTGGGAACCACTGAAGTATGGGATCTGACAAGACAAGTGAAGAATGGTTTGAATTTGTCATGACATTCCACTCATACATTCATGTATTTAAACATTAAATTCACATTTGTTTTTTTTTTTTTCAAATATGACAAAAGATTTTAGATTGACATATCTGTGCAAGTGTATTTATTTGGTTTGTGTGTGTTGCAAGATGCTATGTTAATGACATCTTTTAAGGGGAAAAGTGCAACTCTCATGCTTTTTGCAACTCATTTTGTTAATCTAAATACATTGAATTCATATGTCAGTGATGATAGACTGGAGGTTAAAATTCATCTTCACAAATATTAAGCTTTTTTAGTTCATTCAGATTTTTTTTATATAGAAGTTTAGTATTTCTAAACACTTTAGCACTTTTGTAGAGATTATGCATACCCAGGCAGTGAAACTATCTTTTAAGGTTGGTGTAAAGTATATGTTTTACAACAAACTATACTCTTCATGTTCATCTAAAGAAATGAAACTAGTCTATTAAGATTAAGTGTACCCCATTCCTTAATTGACAATATGAATTTGACATTAAATACTTTTTGTAGCTATTTATTATTAGTGATCTAACCTTAGTCATTTCAAACACTGATTATCCAAAATGATGTTTACAAACATAACGAACATTTGCCATGCTGTTCATAATACACACGATATGAAGAAGAATACTCTGTGCAAACATTTCAAATACAAACATTTCAAATACAAACATTACAAACATTGACATTCAGAAT